CTCTCTCTCTGTTTATCACTGTCGTTGAACCTTACCCACCATCTCTCTCCTTTTTTTCACCACTTCTCATTTAGTCAAAATTGTAATTTGTTTATCACTGTCTTTGTTTTTCACTTCCGACTAATTTGTAATTTCCCCTTTTATTTTGCATTGATTGTTGGACAAAGAGCAAGTTCATACCACTGAATCTGACCAAGCTGGTGGCACATGTGGGCATGCAGGTACATATAAATGGTAAAGCAAGTTTTAGCAAGTGTTGGTTTCAATTCAATAACCGGTTTAAGTAAATTTGAGTGGGAAAAAATATATATATGAGAGAAATTAAAATATATATTAAATTTTATTCGCTCTTTTTTTTTTTTTTTTTTGTCTTCTATGTCTTTTTAAATTACTATCCAAATTTATAATTGCCCTAAAGACTATCAATAAGAAGTATAAAATGCTAACATATTCATTGGAAGTTAAAAAATATCACTATAATCATAATTACAACAATGTCATTGTTGCATTATATTATATGAATTTTTTTTGGGTATAAATATCTTTCTTCTATACTACTATAAAGAAAAGCCTTCTCTTTGTGTTTATATCTTATATTTTGAATTTTTTCAAAATACTCCTATATTAGTTCTATGGCTAGTTATGCCCTAAATCCCTTTTTTCTTTTTTTTTTCCAAATGTCTCAACTTTTGATTTTTTCAAATTCATTTCAATTTTCAAAGTTTGAATTCAATCATATAATTTATAATCTTATTTTTTTAAACAAAATAATCATATGTGTAGGCATCGCGTGCGCCACCGGCCCACCTCTTTTAATTCTATGTATGTATAGTATATTATTTGTACATGTATCATGTAAAACATGTGTAAAAGTTAAGCAATTTAGTTTCCCTCCAAGATCAGAATCAAAAAACAACCATTACAAACAATAATAATTATTATTATTTTTTTAAAAAAAAATGATGATTAATTGGTGTTGTTTATAAGTATTGTGTACAGAGATTGGCATGCAAGTGATAATTAAAAACCTTTGGCAGTTGTTTATATATCATAGCTGTGGTTGGATGTAGGGACCAATTTGACTACTACATGCATAACATAACATGCACTCCTATTTTTATCCAAAACCCTACACCCCTTTTCTCTTTTATTTTTTTCTTTTATTTTCTTTATTTTTTATTTTTTATTTTTTAACGGGAATGGTTTTCAACTTTACGCAATCCCTTAAAAAATAATGTTCCAAGTTTCTGAAGCAAGCAAGCAAGCAAAAATGGCATCATATGTGAGGACTTTTCTTTGTCCTCTTGCACCTCCTACCACCCATCACAATATCATGCCACTCTCTTTTTCTCATTTCTTTTTCTTTTGTAAAATGCTATGTACTCTTTTTTAAAATTATTTTAAAAAGGTACTCTTAATTTGAATGTTAATGTAAATTTAAAAGTAATTTGGTGCAGGCCATATTTAAAATGAATTTGACCTACTATTTTTAATTTTGAACACTTTTCAAATTATAAAGTCCCTTCATATCACTATCTCATGCCACTAAAGGACCCATCTTATAACTTTATCATTCCACTTTTCTTTCTTTTGCAACAATGAAACATTACTATTCAGAAAAATATTCAGAATTCGAATATGTAGAATAAATTTAACTTTGGCATATTGAAAAAAAGCAAGTTATAACGGTAGTTATTATATTTTAACTCGTGTTATTTTAGTTCATGTAATTTTAATTGACTCGATTTTGATTTTGAATTTGTGATTTTGTCTCAGTTTAGTCCAATTATTAACTCTTAGTATCTTTTTATAAAAAAATATATACATAAATGTCATGTGTCATATTTTAAAGGGCAAATTTTAAACTTATTACACTCAGTGAGTTAATCTCAACCAGTTTATTAATAATTTTTCCTAAAAACAGTAATGATATTATAAATTGAATCAAATTGATTCAAAATTTAAAATTAAGAGTTCAATTTGAGCCAATTAAAAGTATAAAGGCCAAAATAATACAAAAGATAAAGGGTAGAGACCACTAATATAATTTGTTCTATTAAAAATGAATCTAGTCCACTAATTTTAAATTTTTTTTGAGCAACATGTTGTTTTTGTTTCTTTGAAGCTCCATAGTACTTAATGACTCTTTCTTAATCATATGCCTCAAAATCAATGCCACTCATGGATGCTCAAAGCTAGTTGATGATGACCAACTACCACACAACCAACTTCACTACATCTATGTAATCCGTAAAAGGACCAAACCTTGTCTCCCATAAAAGAATCCATGGAAATAATTGGTATCATCCCACACCACATGCAAAGAGAAGGCACCAACTGGTCAAACCCACCATCTATGGTTACCTTCATTGTTTGTTTTTGTTTTGTTTTGTTTTTTTTTTTTGGGGGTGGTTAAAATTTAGATGAATTGTTATCAATCATTTTTTCTCTCACAATGTAAGATGTTAGAAAGTTAGTTAAATTACTACAGATGATAATAAATTTTGTATGGTCCCAATCCAATCCATCAACCTACAAGAGAAGATTTGGGACATCATTGTGATACTAGCCAAAGACTCTCTGATATCTTTGTTAGAGGTGTGAAGGTAGAGAGAGAAAGTAGAGAGAGTAGAAATGGGGAGACTAGGGTTTGGGTGCAACTTTTTATAGAAAGTCTTTATATTAGGCCATTGACGTGGTGGGGCCTCAATTTGGTTGGACTATTAGTCATATGAGTTGATTTGCCAAATCCAAGTCTTAACTTATTATATATGCAACAACTACTAATGGACATTTCATGCTTTTTCACGAGCTCGAATCTCGAACCTACTCCTTAAAATCCAAGAGATACAATCACTTGAATTAAGCTCAACTTATATTCATTTCTTCACTACTTATATTAAGTTGAACATGACCAAAGAATACCTTTTGGTTTTTCATTCTTAGGAGTGAAAATTTCTTTAAAAAAATATATATTATTTGACAAAATAAAATTTTTATACAAAATCATTATTCAAAATGATGTGCTAGTGGTAATTTTTTTTTATCGTAATTGGAACAAAATAAGCCACAGCAGATAAATAGATTAATTTAATAAATATTTATGACCATAGTCTTAGATAGCGCTACAGGGATATGTGAGGCCGCACGAAGGCTGGGACAAGGCCTAGAAAATCCAAACCCATTGGGCCTTACGTCCAATCCAATCCCAAAAGTCTTCCACCCTTTAAAAAATGAAACCTTGATATAACCCATATGTATTTGAATTTTGAATTTGTAGATGAAAAAAAAAACATAAAAAATAATTTGTAAAAAATATAACTTTTATTTCATTTACTTTTTCTTTTCATTTTGTTTTTTTTTCTCCATAAATCATTTTACAAATCCAAAACACTTGGTAAGATTGTAAATGATCCTAGTAATAAATTTTTCAAATTTGATTTGAAAATTCATCACCGACCTCAAATAGTTTTAATCCAATCAACCCTAAAGCAAGCTCAACTAATATAAATATATATATACAAAAAAAAAAAATGTTGAAAACTCCCAATTTAAAATTTTAAATTCACTTACAATTCACTTACCATCTAAAAAAATCAAAAAATTCACTTACAATGACTTGACAAAGAAAGTGGACATTAAACTTTTGACAAATTAAAAGTTGATTTGTATCTCTCCCAAAAAAAAAAAAAAAAAAAAGGTTGATTCGAAGGATGTTGTATCTATGTATGTCAAATTAGGCAAGACTTCTGAAGGGTCTTTAATATATATTTTCTTTTAGAATGTGTATAAGCTTATCAAATTGAGATTTGCCATCACACAAATTCAAATTTGAATCCAACCAAAAATCTGGGCCAATGTTGAACAAGTCTATGATGAACAAATCTAGACCTTTAATTGACAATAAAAAAAAGAATTGATGGCACCATCTGATGCTCTCCAATTCGGCAAACACCGTTCTTTCTAAAAAAATTACAAAAATTGCCAACAATTTCTTCAACGTATGATAAATTTCACACAAGGGACAGTATTTATGAACTTGAGTCCAGGCAAGAGGCTAAAAAACCCATAAAAAAAAAAGGAAAGAGAATACAAGATTATTGAAACTTGAAATACCCATTTAAACAAATGTACAAGCCCAATTCAATAAAAGATGCAAATCCAACTAAATTCCTATATTTCGATTAAAAAGAAATAAATTGTAGAAAGTAAAAATTATACAAAATAACGTAGAAGGAAAGGAAAAAAAATATATATTTTTTTTTATTAGAATGAACATTTTGCAAAAAAAAAAGAATTCTAATTATAAATAACTATTTTTATAACAAATTTAAATTTTCCTGTGTGTTTTAGAAGAAATTGAAATCTTATTTACCATGCTATAATGAGTTGTACAAGAAAATTAACTTTTTTGTAACTACCACTATATTCATGCTAAACAAACTTCATTTTTTATTTTTTTTTTCAAATTTCCTCACTTTTGACCATTTTCATCCTAACCAAATTTAGTCATAAGCACAAACATGTGTGCTTTGAGTGGACGTGATCTCGTAAATAACTGAATTAATAATCTAACAAAATACATACAAAATGAGTACTAAAAATAGGTTCAAACTAATTGACGAAATTACAAAATTGATAAAATCTTATCGATCCTTAGCTATAAATTCTTTTATTGTTAATCAATTGTAACTTGCACGCACATCAACTAATCTTGAAGCCTTGAAATTAACAACCAGGAAAACCTCTAATAGCCTTTTGGGGTGACTCGAACTCTAAACATTGAAGCTTACTCTCGAGTCTTTACCATTTGACCAATCCTCAGGTTATCCCTATCGATAATTTTGGGCCAAATCCAAACTCAAGATAAGATCCATAATTCAAAGAGAATAATATTCACAGACTAACCATCGTAGGAATACTAATTTAATCCAATCTAATCCGTCCAAACAAACATGCCTAAAGCTACTATGAGCAAATTGGAACAAGAGATGCAACACTGGGCAGAAAAGAGAAGTCTAAATTTTTTCCATAGAAGTTTTATAAGGTACAGGTCAGGTATAGAGAATCAAGCCTTCCAAAGATAACTTCCTACACAACTCCTGCTAATTTCATACTCATATCTAATCCAAATGTTGCTTAAAGAAAACAATCCAACTAATTTGATCTCAAGCTGAAAAACATGCCCAAATCAGGACTTTTTCTTCTTTTTCAATAATCGGGTATTTAGACGGACTAGTTTGCACACACCTCGACTGATCAAGTTAAAAAACATGTCAAATCAGGACTTACCTAAAACTTCAACATAAAGCTCAGCAAGAGAACTGAAATACCAGAGAAACTGCCCAGTGACACAATTTTCTGATTTTCCAACACTGAATTCTAATACCGATACATGGTTCGAAGAGGACCATACTCAGATGTTGCTTCTTCATGATAACGGTACTCAGATGTAAGAGGACGGTATTCTGCCCGCAGTCCAGGAGAACTGTACTCTGGTGGTGGTAGGTGTGCAGAATACAGAGGATCGCGGTATGAAAGAGGTTCCCTGTATGAGATGTAGGGATCACGGCTTCCAATCTCATCCCGATGCCTTACATCCAAATCTAAAAGACGACGGTCACGATGCTCAACAAGTGGGTCCTGCCCGTAAACATCCATTTCCAGACTCCTCCCATAAGAAACATACGATGGAGCGGCAACTGGTGGTGGAGTCAAAGGTAGAAGTCGGGGAAGAGGTGCAAACATCTCGCTTTCATAAATAATCGGACGGTCATGGTACTGGCGGTCCGCAACCAACCCAGAGCGCCTCTCTGCCCGTCTGATTCTGTCTCGATCCGCATATGTACGGGTTTCTGCTTTAAGATTTCTGCCCGACTTCTTAGAGTTGGAGCTTCCTCTGCTGGAAGCAACAAAAAGCTTACACAAGTTCTTCACCTAATCAAGAATATATAATGCTATTAGTTTCAATGATCTGCAGAAGAATGAGCACCAAACCCAAATAATTTGACGTTATTATTTTCTGAGAACATAGCAAAAACAAGGACAGACCTGTTCTGAGGTCAGTTGGCAATCGAACTTGTTCCTTGCATAGTAGTTATCTTTGATGACCTTTTTGAACTTCTCCTCTGCTAATGGATTGCAATCCTCCAAAACAGTAAATCGAACCTACCATAAAAATTCCTCAGTTTTACAACTGTAATAAAAGATGTCGCATATAAGTAATTATTATCTCATTTTTTGTCAATAATAAACTTTGAGAGAAGAATCCAGGTAAACGCTTGGAGACTAATTCGTCTTCATTTGTGGAAGGTCATCATACCCAGTCCAGGAGTAGGACTGCAAACAATTCAAGCTCCGGAGTATTCTAGCTCGGTTTGCTAAGAATTAGTCAAGCTCGACTCGAGTCAACTCAATTTTACATAAACGAGATACTTGACGAGCAGAGCTCAAGCTCGAAAAGAAAAATCAAACTTAAATTAATTAAGCATATTAAGAGAAAAAATAGAAAATTATGAACACAATATAAAAGAATGCTCATATTAATAATAAATTTTATCAATCAAATATGAAAATTTACACAAACACCAAACACAAATAAAGAAATAAAATATATTTAATATATTATTTAAAATAAAATTATTTCATATTTTGTGTTCATGAGCCTTATCAAGCCGACCTTGGGTCTACTCAAGCTTGGCTCAATTACTAACCAAGCCTAAGAATAAAGCTCGAGCTTGTTTATGTAGCAAACAAATCAAGCTTTGAACGAGTTGAGCATAAGTTCATGAACAGCTCAGTTTGTTTGCTGTGAGGGTGTTTAGGAAGTGCCTACTATTTTGGCTATCTTAGATTTTGTGTTTGGGAAGATGGGTTGGATTTTTTGTTTGATTGTTGTATTGGAAAATGTGTTTGAAATGATGTGGGAAGGGAAATGACAAAGTTGCCCCTAATGGATGAATGATTGGTGTGGTTTTCAAAAACTTTCAAAGGCAAAATCGTCTTTTCGCATAGCTAGCCCTGCCACACCCCACATGGACCTGCTGCAGATGGGTTGCACCTTTTTTTGTTTGCATATGCTTTTGGCTTTTTTCTACTTTCAGGCTATTTTAGCCCCTAAACCTACTTCCCAAACACCCCTATGCAGAAGGGCTTTTGGCTTTTTTCTACTTTCAGGCTATTTTAGCCCCTAAACCTACTTCCCAAACACCCCTATGCAGAAGGCTCCTCTGCTTACAGCCAGGTTTGGGAGAGGTAATAAGTTGCCAAGGCTTATTCTCTTATTTTCTGTCAATAATATACTTTTGAGAGAAGAATCCAGGCATACAACGAAGACTAATTCATATTAACTGCATCAATGATGGAAGGTCATCATACCCAGTGCAGAAGAGGTAGTAAGTTGGCAAGTCGTGGCCCCCAACTTTTTTGTGACAAGGCTAATTCACATGACTTGAACCCACAGCAACACAGCTGGGAGCAGACAGCACTTGCATCATGGAAGGGAGACAAATAAATGAAGTACACTTGTTATTTTCATCGCTCTTAGCCAAAACCATGCTTATTCCTTTTTCTTTTACATGGGCGTAGCCCAAAAACAGACATCAAAATTACACTCCACTATTAACAAAGGAATGGCTCAGATTCAAGAATTATATAAAGGAGATTTGGTCCTCCACAACTTGATTGAAAAAACAGTTACTCAGAAAGTTGCAACACAAATACAATATCATTACTAAAGAAACCAAGTAACATTGACAATAGAACACAAGCTTCATCCTAACAATTTATGAATCTCATGAACTACTAAACAAATTGAGATTGACTACAACTTCTCTTACTCCAATAATTGGATGATTTCCATTAGAAGCCAATTTAAGAAATTGACTACGGAAGCTTAACATCTACCATGCATACAGTCCACCTAAACTGGATTTAGCAGCAACCTGACAAACATTTATAACGCCCATCTTCATATATGGCCATAATTTAAATGGAATACCAGTATACTATGTTGGTAGAAAAATAACGATTCAAACCTAGACATGTGGTTGTGGGTATCAAAATAATTTTACTTGAATCAGCATTTTCTGTAATGATATGTTAATCAAACATGTATGCAGAATCCAATTTCACAGAGCCTGTGATCGTACTGTTGGTTGGCACTCACTAAAAAGACTAAATGGTTGTCCCAAGTATGTGGTCAAGAATAATGTCATTTACTTTATGTAGGTTGCATTGCTCTTAACTTCCATTAGAATGATAAAATTATGAAGAGAAGTTTATGGTAAGTAACTTTAAAAAAGTTAAATCAACCACACAAAAAAAAAGAAAGGAAACCACGGGACCTTAAACAATTTCAAATCAAGCATGTAATGACAGAAAGTCCCGAAACGAATATGAGTTTGGTCACTGTACAAGCCAAAACAATCAAGGCAGTTGAGCAATGGCTAGAAGAACTCAAAATATAGACTGGACTAATATTTAATTCCACGCAGAGAGAGACAATTAAATGTATGTATTGAAATGTTGAGAGAGAGAGAGAGATTTATGCAGCACAGCGCTTGATTCATGCAAACAATGTTCGTCTCAGATAGCCTCATGAGCAGTGTAATCAAGGATTTTTCAACTTCTTTTATCTTTTAAATCTGTTACCAGAATCTTATGATTCATGATTCGTTTCACAATTCATGGGTAGATTGAGGCGTGTCTATGAGTGATGGGAATTGCAAAGGCACTGGTTGACAAAAACCATTGCAGCCTAAGAAGTACGAACACAGATACGGATAAGGATGTGGACACGGGACAACGATTTCAAAAAAATGGAGACACAAACACAACGATAGAGATTTCAAAAAGAATGGAGACACAGACACAGCATGGATACAACAATAAAATATGTTTTCATATATTTTTATTTGCTATCTAGATTAATATTACATTCACAAACAATCAATATTAACAAAAACTAACTATAATTCTTTTTTTTTAAATTTAAAAAAACATTTTTAAATTAACATTTACAATTTATATATTTTTTTATAGATGATCTATTACGTATTTAAATCTAAAAAAAAAATACTAAATAATAAATATTCAATATTCATCAAAAGCACTAAATAAAATGAAAAAAAAGACAACTTGGCATGTCTCTAGTGTGTCTCCGAAGTGTCTCCGGCATGTCCCCTGAAAATAAATTAATTAAATAAGGGACACGCCATGTGGTGTGTCCCAAACGTCTCCCCAAAGTATCCGTGTGTCCCCAAAATGTCCGTGTGTCCGACACGGATACAACACTTGTTTTGAAGTGTTGGTACTTCATAGATTGCAACTAAGAAGTACAAACACAGATACAAATACGGACACAGATACGGATGCAGACACGAGATACGTTGATTTTAAAAAAATGAGAACACGAATACAATGGGGACACAATAATAAAATATATTTTCATATATTTTTATTTGCTATCTAGATTAATATTACATCCATAAACAATCTATATTAACAAAAATGCCTCCAATTCTATAATTTTTAAATTTAAAAAAAAAAAAAACACTTTTAAATTAACATTTGCAGTTTATATCTTTTTTTTATGGATGATACATTAAGAGCATCCCCATCTCTTTCCTTATATTACCTCCTTAGTTAAAATAAAATAAGGAATTTTTCTGTCAAAACACATCCCTAGCAGTTCCCTTATCCAATCCCCTAAATATAAGTGTTGCTACAGTGACTCCCTATTAGTAGGGAGTCACTGTAGCTCCCTTATATCTGATAAATTCTTATTTTATTTCGTTGAAGGCAAGAAGGACGTCCTCCCGGGCGTCCCCCCGGATGTCTCGTGAGTGTCCTGGAGCAAGGAAAATATCCAAAATTAGCTTGATCGGTCAACCGCCCGATCATCTAGCCGGTCGACCGCCCTTGTTTGCTTTCTTCTGCTGCTAGCACATGCTGTGATATTGCATGTGTTTATATTATTTTATTATTTAAAAAATATTTAAATTTAAAAGTAATTAAAAATATTATTTTAATAGAATAGAAAAAGAATAGGGAGTTTGTTAGGAGAAGTAGATGAAAAAGTAATTCCTAAAATAGGGAATGAATTTTGTAATAATATTTTAGGGTAAAATTTAGGTAGCCTGGTAAGGATGCTCTAAGTATTTAAATCTAAGAAAAAAATAATAAACATTCTCCATTCAAACATTCATCAAAAGTACTAAAAAAATGAGAAAAAAAACTTAGTATGTCCCTAGTATGTCCTCGAAGTGTCCCCCGGCATGTCTCCTAAAAATAAATTAATTAAATAAGGGGACACGTCACATGGCGTGTCCCATACGTGTCCCCGAGGTGTCCGTGTGTCCAACACGAATACGACACTTGTTTTAAAGTATCAGTGCTTCATAGCATTGCAAAATATATAAATTTAGTATAATTAGAACTTGTGCTTTAATAGGATTTTATTTTTATGCTTTTATTTTTATATCAGTAGTTGCCATTCATTAGTTTCCTAAATGCGTTATGACACAGTCCAAGACTGGTTGGAAGCCCATTATCATATTTGGAAACTGAAGCAGCTAATCCTCCCTAACTAGCACGATATTGTCCGCTTTAGAGTTAGGACATTTTAGCTAGCTAATCCCTCACGGCTTTAAAATGCCTCATATTAATCTAAGGGAGTTAGTCCACTTATGTAGTGAAATGGAACTGTGATGTGGGATGCATAGACTTTGCCAAGTACACACACTTTACTCCCCAATGGACTGGCTACCTTAGCAGGGAGTTCTCACATACGACGCCAAATGAAGCAGCTAACCCTCCCCGACTAGCACAATATTGTTTGCATTGGAGTTAGGCCATTTCAACTAGCTAACCCCTCACAGCTTTAAAAAGCTTTATACTAGTCTACGGGAGTTAGTCCACATATGTAGTGAAGCTGTAATCTCTCACAAAGCCATGTGTGATGCGTGGACTTTGCCGAGTACACCCACAAAAACCCAAAGTGAAACCCATGGGTCCGAGAACTCTTTTTGGTCCTATAATTGGTAGCTTTATTATTATTATTATTTAGTGAAGCATTAAATAATTATTAGTTAGTTGTTTTGCTTATGTTTCCAAATACTATAGGATTTGTTTTCCTAATTCATTTTAGGGTTTTGGCCTATACATGTTAGGCTTTTGAGATTGTAATGGGCAGCTTTGATTAATAATATTGGAGATTGTTTTGAGGCTGTGGTCGTGTGTATTTCTTCCCCTCCCTTCTCTTATCTCATTCTACATCGCAGTGTTTCTTAATTAGCTGGTGCTTATACCTATACATGGCTTTTTGTAATGGTTTTAGAAATGTAAACTTTGATTATTGATTATTGAGATTGATATTGAGAGTGTTTAGGGACTGTGATCCCCAGATTCTTGTTCTTCTTCTATTCTTCTTGTTCTTGGTACTACATCAATAGGTGGATTAGTTTTCGGATAGAATCAATGGTGAATCGCATGATTCACAGTTCAATTTACGCTTTATGATTCATGCGATTTTTGGAACTATCGGATCCAACAGATTCCAACCATTTTTTACCTTCGCTTTTTTTTTTTATATATATATATATATATAAATGAAATGTCATAATATAACTTCTAAGAGTATTTAACCAATACCTATACATGATTTGTTATTTTCGTGAACAAAATGTTTATATGATCTAATCAGATCAAGTCAGACCTAACAGATTCTTAAACCTTTTTTTTTCTCATTTTTTACTTAGAAAAATGTCAAAATACATCTTTGATGTTTAAGGCTAAAGTAACTTGCACCTATGAATTACATATTATTATTTTGGTGAAATAAACATGGTTTATTATGACATAAGTTAGATCAATCAGACCCAACTGTTCCACTAACTCTTTTTTTTTTCCTTTTTCTTTTTTAAACAATAAGCATATAAACTTTTTAAAGTGTTTTAAGTTTTAAAATAAAGTGGGATGTTTAAGGCTAATAAGTAAATTAATTATGGAAACTGCATGAGTGAATTAGTTATTGAAATGGCAAAAGTAAGTGAATTGAATAAAATTTCAGTTTACCTGAGTGAGAAGTTGAAACTCTTATTTGGACAATATATTTAATTTAAGTGGAATTATCAAAAACAAATTCTACGTGGAAGCTTAATTTCCATTAAGCAGTTGTTCTAGTGAATTTTCTCTTTGCTTCCAAATAGATCCATTTTTATCATTGTATTAGGTATAAACAGCCAAAACAATGATGTTTATTTTCTATAAATAATGAATTTATCTTTTCACAATATTTTGAGCACTTTTGTAGTGTTTTTCAACTAAATACAGAAATTTTAAGGAATATGTGTTTTGGGATTTCAATTTTGCTTCAAATCGAATATTTTGTCTTTTACAAGTCAATTTAGTTTCAAACATATCAGTCCAAAAATATATTGTCATTCATTATGATATACACTGACGTTTACTGCACCACTACTAGTAAATGTACCATCAGTGCACAACAACCTAATATCAGATAGTTCACAGGTCATTCAAGCTTATGTATAAACATTAGCATATCCATGGTAATACAGGTGTAATGAGCATCCAAAAACCCAACCACCAGTCACAACTCAGCGATATACACTGATGTTTACAGCACCACTACTAGTAAATGTACCATCAGTGCACAACAACCTAATATCAGATAGTTCACAGGCCATTCAAGCTTATGTATAAACATTAGCATATCCATGGTAATACAGGTGTAATGAGCGTCCAAAAACCCAACCACCAGTTAGAACTCAACTCTCTCTCTCTCTCTCTCTCTCTCTACATAACACTTATGTTTCTAACATTTGCCATTAACTTGGACAAAATATCTGACGGTCCACTTTAATCCACAAACCACAGAGGGTTATGTGCTTATTTCCAAATGACGGGGGACAAACCGCACATGGGATAAACTATAAGCGGGCAAAGTGAAGTTTACCCTTTCACATATATCATTTATATTATGTACGTGTCAGTAAAAGTAATAGCCATAAACACAAGTTATTATCAAAAACTAGTGGCAATCTAAAAATATCAAAACCTCTTTATGTACATCATATCCAATTCTTTCCTCTATATTTTTTTTCCATGGCCCCATTTAGATAGTGGATTTGTAGCTTTTGATGCTTTCCAAAATCACAAAATTTAAATGATAGTAGCCAGATGGTCAAACTCATTATTAAAGTCACAAAGAAGCCGTAAGAGGACCTACAAACAACCGAACCAAATTACTTAAATCTGAGTCCCAATCAAGCCCTCTCTAAACCAAACAATTTAACAAATAATGCTCCTGGTTGAGGAATTTGGCAAGACTAGATAAAAAGATTTACATTTGTAGCATAAAGCATAGTACAAATGTCTTAACTCACAAAACAAGGATCTTTCTTCACATAGACTTCCAATACAGACCAACACTCCTTCTATGACATGGAAATGTTGCAAAATGGACGGGATAGAAAGTGAAAGCTGGTAAACTTTTCACTTGTGCTTTATCTCTACTGAGACCACACAAAGTCTCATAGAGATAAAGCACAAATCCCCAACCCAGCTGAATGCAACCATTCACAGCAATCAAACACAAAAGCATTTCCTTTTTTGACTAATCCCAATTAATTCCAATTCACCCCCATCCATTGTTCTAATTAAACAAACCCTCACACCTACACATCCTTTTAGATGGTAATTCATGGTTACACTAAAGTTAACAACCTGCAAATTTCTTCCCCAAAATAATTTTTAATCAAGCACATGCACCAAGTAAAGGTTAAAACAAAATGTAGAAGTAGAGACTAACCTGAGATGGGAACGCTGACTGGAAAGCCTTGGGTTCAATATTGTAACCCCCTGGTCCTGCAGCTTTGTAAATCCCATACATGAGTCTCAAATCAAAATCAAACAAAAACAGCCTCATCCCTTTGTAAACTTTTTGTACTACATCTCTCTTGCTTGCAGGCAGCCCAAGAACCTTATAATGGTAGCAATCCTTTTTTGTCTTCGAACTGCACATGAAAACCATCCCCATGCTCTCAGCCCTCTTTGACACCGTTTTCTTGTTCGATGATCCTGGCTTGTCTTCCACTTTAGTGGCTACTGTCTCAAAACCCCTATTTGACACCTTTTTCTTGCTCGATGATTCTGGCTTATCTTCCACTTTAGTGGCCACTATCTCAGAACCCCTTTGTGCCACCTTCTTTCTGTTCCGTTTCCTTGATCTTTTGACTTTCTCTCTAGAATTTTCTCCTAATTTATCTTCATTTTTTGCTTGTTCAATTGTGTTTTCCTCATTTTTTCCTTTGATTTCCTCCTCCTGCTCTTTTCCTTCTTCTTCTGTTGCATTTTGTTCATTATCTTCTTCGTCTATTGCATTTGGTTCATTCTTTTTGTCTTCTTCCATGGTATTATCTTCATGATTTTCGTCTTCTTCCATTGCGATTTCCTCATTCTTCTCTTCTTCTATGGAAAATTTTCCATTCGCCATATCAGGTAATGCATTTTCTTCATTCATTACTTCTTCATTTTCATTGTGTTTCTTATCTTCATTCTCATTAGCAACCCCGGTTTCTTTAACACTCATTTTCATTGAGATGGACAAAGTTGTCTCACTTTGAGAAGTGTTAGAGGCATCATTATTCTTGGGGTTTAAATTGGAGCTAGAAATAGTACCCTTTCCTTTCTCATTGACCATGTTGGCCTCTATAATCACCCAAAAAAAAAAACAAAAAAAAAACAAAAAAGTAAAATAACTTCTTAAAATCCATAAACTCATTATTGCTAATTTGGTAAAGCAGCATAGCCAAATTGCTAACAAAGTTCTGTCCAAAACACATTGCATCAGCAAGAATGAGAATGGAAGACCACGACATTCGAAAAGGATATAATAGAATTCAATATTCATGCATGCTCGCAAGAATTTTGGCATGGGACTTCATTTAGAATTTTGTAATTTTTATTTGGTCTAGTATTATTCAAAGTTAATGAATAAAATTGAGAGCTTAAAGTTGATTAGGGTTGTGACCCTTGTGTTCTTCCTCTCTATCCTTTCTCCCTCTGCATCACACAAATTACAAAAGGGTAAATTACACCTATATCCCTTGAGGTTCGTCTTTCATACAAATTCCCCCCCTAAGGTTCTGAAAATTACACCAACTCCTTGTCAAAGTTTGTCGTTTAACAAATCTAACCAAAAAAATTAAAATGACTCTTTAACCCTTGTTGTTTATCTCCATTGGGATGAGCTTCTTGTACATCCAGCCCTTGTCCTCTCTAAGGCATTTTGTCAAACATGGAATAGGCATCCGCTCAACTACTTTCTCCCACCCTACCACCATCACACACACTGAAAACCATCAACCACCCTACCTCCACCATCATAGCCATCATCCCCTCACAGCCGCTATCAACCACTAAATACACCTAAAAAAACAGCTCCAAGCCTCCATGTAGCACCGCAAAACCCAAATCAAATCTATAATACCTCTGTCTTGAACCCCACACCCACTTGGGTCTTTTGTAGAACATTCATCTTTATCCACCTATACCTCTGCATCCAACCCCAACACCCGCACCACTGTCTCCACCCCCATTACCCACTTCCAAACATCAAACCAAATCAACCCCCATTCCACTTAGCCACCACTATTCCTCCAACTCCTAGCCCACATTCTCCATCCATCAATGTGCTCAAATCCCCAACCCCACCACCACCATCACCGATCCCTACCCCTATCACAAGGTCCAAGATCAAGTGCCGAAGGTCCGAAAGCTGAGATGAAGCACTGGTGTTTCCAAGTTTCGAGATTGAGCACTAGTATTTCCGCCCTCCTAGCATCGTGCTCACATGCTCTTCCCATGTGGTTCCTGAGGTGGTAGGTGGTGTCGTGATAGAAGGATAAAGAAGGGGAAAGCAAAGAACGGTGTGGGTATAGAGAGAGGAAGAAAAATGAGTGCTTGGGAAGGAAAAACAATGATCTAGTGAGAGGGAGGGGTGATTGAATTAATTGTTGACAGTCAACCAATGGAGAGGTTTTTTGTAATATGCCTATAAACCTCAAGGAGAGGGAGCAATTTCAGAAACCTCAGAGGTACCAATGTATTAGTTACAAACCTCAAGGGTGTATGTGTAATTTATCCATTACAAAAAGAACATAAATTGGAAGCTTCTATTTCCACAAACCCTTCTTCCTCAATTCACACACTTCGTCAATTTTTTAATTACAATTTTATCCTAAAAATAAAATTACCATAATACCCTTATCTTTCACATTCCAAACCCTTATCCTCAAACCATTACATCCATCAGCCATTGCCAGCAGCATTGCCACCATTCCGATCTGTCCTCTGCCGCAAATTGCTTGCCTTCGCAAGCCATCCACACCGCCAACCACCATTGGCAAGCCATTGCGAGAAAGGGGTTGGAAGAGGCCAGTGGTAGCGGCGATGACTGGCAGCCAGTGGTTAGGGTTAGGGTTTTTTAGATTGAAGATAAGGGAATTTTTATATAAATGTGTGTATTCAGCAAAAAATAAAATATTTAAATTTGTAGTGTGCACCAAGAAAGTATGTGCACTGAGAGAATTGGGGGTGTGAGAATTGAGTAGATGGAAATAGAAGCTCCCACATAAATTGGAATGGACTTTGAAGAATGGAGAAGCTCCTTTCTCGTTAGTTGTTTGGCGTGATGAATATAAGTGCACCTATTTTGATAAGTGCACTTATTTAGGTCATATCAGATCTCTACTTTTCTACACATTTTTTTTGTACTCTACTTTTCTACACATTTTTTTAGTAAAAAGTTAAAAAATATACTTATTTAGATCATCCCAAATAAGTTACCATTTGACGATCATAGAGGCCCTAGTTATCAGATCCAATTACCCTCAAATATATATATATATACACTGCAACAAATGAGGTCGATTCTATAACCACCAAAGTCTATTAGTGGCTAGAAAACGACAGACATCCACAACGCTTGGACACAAAGAAGCAGCAAAACCAGAACCAACAACAAATCTGTTTGGTTGCCCAGAAAACAAATATGGAATTCTAAGCGAAGAATGAAATGATGAATTAAGCATCTACATTAGGCACCGCTGAGTGATAATCATTCTATCTTTTCCTCGTATACATAAACAACAGAAAATACGCAAAATCAATTAAACTAATCCATTCATCCAAAAAAAATAAAAATAAAACCTATTTGATGTAATCACAATACAAATTGTAAATTAAAAAGAGAATGCGTACTCACCTCTGGTTGCAAGCATTGAAAATACGGATTGAGCTCGGTGAAAAGGATTGACGATGATGGAGAAACAAAATCGGCTACGGATTCCAAAAATCAGATTTCGAGATGAAACCAGCCCCTCTCCCTCTCTCTATAAATATAGAGGTAATTAATTACACAAAACCTCTCGAGGTTTCTACAATTACACAGAGATCCCTGAAAATTATGGCTATTGTAGGGCTAGTGTACGGCAGGCCTGGGCATCCAAAAAACAAATAATAATAATTTAAGAATTAAAGAAAAAAACAAATTCTCCATAAAACAATTAACAACATAAAATGAGGGTAAATTACACTCACCGCCCCTGAGATTTTTGATAATTATATGGATCTCTCTTATAGTTTCAATAATTACATAAACTTTCTTTATTTTTTCTGATGTTATCAAGATTCTCTGCTCCTGTTAATTTAAGTCAAGCGGTGTTAACTTAGTTGTACAAATAACTATAATACCCTTTAACTGTAATTTATCTATATATTAAATTATCATTTTATTTCTCACAATTTTTTTTTTTTTTTGGTATTTCATTGACTTTGTATTTTTTTTCCCACTATAAGTTTTGAACTTTTATAAGTTTAAAAAAAAAAAACCATTAATGAAATTAAAAAAATATATATCCATATTTCTTATTTGAATTAATTTTGAGATTTTAATTTAATAAAAATAATTTAAATGAAAGAAACAACGATGGAGATTAAGATTTTAGATGTAATAAATAACAAATTATTCGAATATTTTATTATTTTAAAATAATTTATTTCTTCCAGTAAACTCCTATTTTAATTAGACGTAAGACATGATAAATTTAAATAACTCAAATAATTTCTTTATCTTTCATTCTCTATCATCTAATTTTAATTTATTGTAACGTGATTATATATTTTTCCACTTTTATATTTATTTTTAAAAATTTTATTATTAAGGTGAGAAATATTGACTTATTTTTTTAATGATAATTAAAATTTGAGAATCATATAGGATTGTGAAAAGATAAAATGATAATTTTTTTATATATATTTATGAGGTAACATTTGGTAATTTTTATAAGTCAATTTTTTTTAGTATAAATATGAAATGTTATTATGTTTATTTTTCTTTAAAAAAATTTAATACACAAATATGTTTACAAAATAAAGAAAAATTCATGTTTCGTAAGTTTCAATAGTATTGTGTGATGCTAGCCAACATTGATGAAAGAGAAAAAAATGATGAAAAAAATTGAGGAAAAAAATAGAGAAGAGAACAAATAATAATAATAATAAATTATATGGTATTGCTATTTGTTGTAGTGACACCTATAAAAAAAATAAATAGAAAGAAAAATGAAAGAATAAAATAAAGAAAATGGAAAGAGAGGAATAATTTCTCCAAATATGTATTTTTCATATGGAAAAAAAATCAAATATCTATATGTATTTTTAATTTTTTATTCAAACTCTAATTTCTCAAAATAATTATTTATAAAATTGGTGGCCTTTTTAAAAAAATACACAAATATGTTTACAAAATAAAGAAAAATTCATGTTTCGTAAGTTTCTATAGTATTGTGTGATGCTAGCCAACATTGATGAAAGAGAAAAAATGATGAAAAAAATTGAGGAAAAAAATAGAGAAGAGAACAAATAATAATAATAATAAATTATATGGTATTGCTATTTGTTGTAGTGACACCTATAAAAAAAATAAATAGAAAGAAAAATGAAAGAATAAAATAAAGAAAATGGAAAGAGAGGAATAATTTCTCCAAATATGTATTTTTCATATGGAAAAAAAATCAAATATCTATATGTATTTTTAATTTTTTATTCAAACTCTAATTTCTCAAAATAATTATTTATAAAATTGGTGGCCTTTTTAAAAAAATGATTGTATTTATAAAATGATTGTATTTTTAAAATGATTGTATTTTTCAAAATAATTATTTATAAAATTGGTGGCCTTTTTATTCTTTCATTTTTCGTAATTTTCAAATAAATGATTGTATTTAATCTAGTATAAGGTTTAATGGTAATCAATTTATTAGCTCCTTTTTTTTAAGATAAGGTAATGTTTGGTTATTCTACTGTATATATGCTTATCTTAATAATTTAGAAAAATTTTAAATATTGTATAGAATTTAATAATTTTGTTTACTAACATGATTAAAATAATGTATGAGTCTTTATTAATTTTTTGTAAAACCCCAGGAGAGGTGAGTGAAATTTACTATTTGAATATATAAGGGCAATCTTGAAATTTTTAATTATAGTACATGATGTCAACATATTCTGTTAAATAAATTCACAGAAAATTAACGGTGTGAGAATCTTAATAATAGTTGTAAAAGTAAAGGTAATTTTTATAATTATTGAAACTACAGAAAAAAATTTTGTAATTGTCAGAAACATGAAGGAAGATGAGTGTAATTTAGCCCTTAAAATAATAGTAAATGTTATTTAAATTATGATTTTGTTAACTTGTATCTTCACATGATAAGAAAATCTAAAAATATCATACACTTTATTACACCCACTTTCTTATAGAATGTTTAATTTTTTAACAAATTTAGAAAAAAATTATTTTTAAAAAACTCAAGATTATAATAAAATAAATCTTAAATTTTTAATTTTTTTAAATTAAATTGTAATATTTTATTTTTTAAAATTTAAACCATCTGTCTATTTTTGTTAAATAAAACTAATGATAATTTAGATTTTAGTTACTAAACTCAACCAAAAAAAATATATTCATATATACCTACATTGAGTTTAAACATTAAAATGTTCTTTTTTGTCAATTTTACTTAACGAAATAGGCAAATAATTTAGATTAAAAATAAATTCAAAAATTAATATTTATATTGTCAAAATTAAAAATTTAAGGTCAAACTCTAGACATTTATTTATCATTTTTTCAAAATTTTAACATGTGTTACAAAGATACATCTTAACAAAATATTTAAATACAAAGGCCTTCAATTAAGGTCTCGTTTAGCAACTATATATTTTAGCCAAAAAGTCTAAAAGTCATTATAAATTGCCACATCACTCTTTCTACTTTTCTGTATATCTTTTCGTAAAAAATTAAAAAACTATTAAAATAACTTATTCTCAAATGAGACCTAAGAATTTATCTTAGACCTCGTTGAAAGCTAAGTCTCCTTTCACATATGAAATGATCATCATAATTAGTTCACGATAGATAATTCATCTTAAGTTCGAAAAAAATATAAAAAACAAAATTATAATTTTAATATAATTATATTAACTTTCTTTTTAGTTTAGCTAGATGGACAAAAATTACTGTAAATAATGTGAAGCTACAAAAATAAAATTACTTAATGAAATCTTTTAATTTGTGTGAAAAAAATTAATATAAAAATATATTATTTTTAAATTTTTTTTTTTCATACCGGACAAATAATTAAAAATGGAGAGAGTAATAAGGAGTAAATGTTACATGTAGATAGTGGACTACATCAACATATTATTTGAGTCAAACACAACTAATCACCCACATTAATGCTATATAGTTTCACATTTTCGATTGGTCCACACTTCATTCGAAAAAAATGTAAAACGAGTCAAACAAAATTAATCACCAACATAAATGCTCTAAAATTTCACATTTTAGATGGATCCACACTTCATCCCAGATGAATGCAGCATGTGAAATTTTTTCTGTCCCTATACTTCACAGTCAAAATCTATATGACATCAATGTCATGAAACAAAATTTATACTATTAAGTAATTACAGGGTGTTTTGGGAAGATGGTTAAAAATTATTTTTTTTAACTTTTTTTGTCTTTTTTGTGAGAGAGGGAAGTGGGTCAAAAGAATGTAGCATGTGAAATTTTTTCTGTCCCTATCCTTTACAGTCAAAATCTATATGACGTCGATGTCATGAAACAGAATTTATACTATTAAGCAATTACAGGGTGTTTTGGAAAGATGGTTAAAAGTTATTTTTTTTAATTTTTTTTAACTTTTTTGTGAGAGAAGGAAGTGGGTTAAAAGCTGAAAAGTTTCTTTTAACCCACTTTCCAAAATAGGCATACATGTTGCCATATATAAATAAAAAAGTATAACTTAGGCCTCCTTTGAAAAGTACTAATTTTAGTTTAAAAGTCAAAAGCTACTAAAAAAATCAAAAAGTCTATAACTTATATTAAAAAGTCAAAAATTTCTTTTTCTCTTTACTTTTTGCACATCTTTTTGTAAAAAATTAAAAAGTCATTCCAAACATATAAGTTCTTTTTAATCTCACTTTTTCGCCAAAAAGTTAAAAAATTATTAAGATAGCATGTTTTCAAACGAGAACTCAGGCCTCGTTAGGGAATAGGCTTTTTTAGTAATTTTTTGGCTTTTTTACTAAAATGTGATGTAAAAAAATTAGGATGTTTGAAATGACTTTTTAGTTTTTTACGAAAAGATGTGCAAAAGTAGAGAGAAAATGAAATATTTGACTTTTTGATAAGTTGTTGATTTTTTAATTTTTTTTTAATGACTTTTTAACTTTTTGACCAAAAAAGTCACTTAGCAAACGAGGGATCGACGTACAAATCTCTCAATAAAAACGGAGTTTGAGAAGGACGACAAGGTATATACAACATCAGGAAACCTTATTTTTCATATGCAAATGTAGTAGTGAGTAAAACTAGAAAATTAAATTACCAAAAAAAAAAAAAGAAAAAGAAATTACAGCTTACCAATATATCAAGACAAAATAATAAAGATAAAAGAGAGTTTTCCATTTATAGATATGTTTATTTTAGTATTTGATTACTGTACAATACAACAATTGAAGCAACTTTACATTATCTTCCAATTTGCTGATAGCCTATTCCTTTTCTTTTCTGCAGATTCACCAATAAACAGATATGTGATAGCAGTTAATCAAACGCCCCAATTCAATCTGCAGATTCAACGAAGAAACTTCACGCCCAACTAATTGAAAGAGAATATTGTATAATAATGATAATAAGAATTCTTGTACTCTCTGGAGATGGACACACTACATTGTTCGATGGCACGGCTCAAACTATCTTCATCAAGAATCAAGTTTCATGCTTTCCAAGCTGCTTGAAATCGCACCTCCTAGCCGAGGTTCCGGTTCCATTAATTCGTAAACTCCAAGA